TGGGAGGGGTAGGGGAAAGGAAAGAAGGGAATGGAATTAATATGAGAAAATGAAAAAACGGAAACAAAGTCTTTGTAAATAGGGAGGGATGGAGGAGTTGAAGGGAGGGCAGGGGAAGGGAGAAAAATAAGAACCAAGAGAGATTATGTAAAGGTACTAATGTCCAATGATGAATGTCATTATATTGTATACCTAAAATGTATCAATAAAATTAAATTTAAAAAAAAATTATACAGTTGAGGAAAAATGTTAAAGGCATAAGATTTAATAATATGGCCCCTTTCATTTTAAAGAACAATCCTGCCCACAAGCACAGAAGAGGTTGGCCGCTCCCATCACACCAGAGGAGGCTTCTGGGCCGCCGCACCCCACAAGTACAAAGAAGGTGAGCCGCTCCTAATGCACACGCACACGAGGAGGCTTCCAGGCTGAGGCTTCCAGGCTGCCGTACCATCACACACACACACACACTCCCAGACCCTGCAAGCACAGAGGAGTTGAGCCACTCCCAGCACACAAGCAGAGGCTTCCGGGCTGCCTTAACCCTCCACAAGCACACAGGAGGTGAGCCACCCCCAGCACACAACAGGAGGCTTCCAGGCTGCCATACCCCTCCATGAGCACAGAGAAGGTGAGCCACTCCCAGCACACAAGAGGAAGCTTCTGGCCTGCTGTACCTCCGCCCCCGTGAGCACACCAGAGGTTAGCCACTCCCAGCACAGAAGAGGAGGCTTCTGGGCTGCCATACCCCTCCAGTAGTACAGAGGAGGTAAGCAGCGTGGGCACCAGCCCCAGGACCCCCGCACCCACTGAAATGAGAAAACACATAAAAAAGTTTCAAAACCAGACTTCCAGATTACCTAAAACAACCCCAAAGGGAAAAGAAATGGAACACTGTGATACTCAACCACCTGGACTCCCTGAACTGGCAACGAAAGAGGATCTGAAAAAAATGAAATCAGATATAATTTCTCAGGTAACAAAAGAGATTGTGCCCATAGTGCAAGATATGATTAATAAA